AGCCCTGAGCCCGGCTCACAGCTGGCGAATGCAGCGGTGGTGGCAGGAGCCTTTCCTGCCTCTACGGCAGTGCTAAGGATGTCTGATTGCTGGCTTAGGACATCCCCTGAGGGCTCCTGGACTGTGTATTATTAATACACTAGAGGCCTGGTGCACGAAATTGGTGCACTCAGCGGGGGGGGGGGGGGGAGAGCCCGAGTGCACCAATTTCGTGCACCGGGCCTCTAGTGTATTAATACAGAAAAAAAAGGTACTGATGGATTTAATCTCACATCACATAAGCCATCTTTTCCAGTTCATTCTTTGGTAGGCAGCTAGACAGACGTGAGCAGAGCAAGGATGATGGGCCAGGTTAAAAAGGTCACCGGGGTGGAAAAGCCCCAAGTACCTAGCAAAGGACAATTGTAGGGTGCAACCTGGCCCCCAAGATGGCCTTTCTTTTACTCCCCTAGCACCATGGTCGGCAAACTGTGGCTCGTGAGCCACATGCGGCTCTTTGGCCCCTTGAGTGTGGCTCTTCCTAAGCCTTAGGAGTACCCTAATTAAGTTAATAACAATGTACCTACCTATATAGTTTAAGTTTAAAAAATTTTGCTCTCAAAAGAAATTTCAATCGTTGTACTGTTGATATTTGGCTCTGTTGACTAATGAGTTTGCCGACCACTGCCCTAGCATATCGCTGGCCATGTGGTTTTGACCCCCTACCTTTCCTCCCTAGAAATAACACCTAGGCTTCAGCTGTATTTCAGCTCCAGGCCCCGAAAAGAAACAAAACCAGCTACAGCTGACCTCCAGACCAGCTGCATTGAAGAATGACCCTTCCCTGGTGCCCTCCAATCAATCAGTGGAGACCACAACCTTGAAAGGACACACCTGGAAAACTGCTGAATATTCTATTGAGAACTTTTCCTGGGACCCTCCCCTAAAATCTCCACCCTTAAAACCCTTAGGACAGAGGACCTAGTGCTTCTCCTGTCTGCAAGCAGGCATGCCTTCCCTGTCCCCTTCTCTGGCCCCCAGGCATGTTACCATTACCTTCCTCACTCCCAAGCTCCAAAGGACCTTCCTTTACCTTTATAATTTGTTTCTTAATCCCATTACTTCTAGGAATTACTCCCACCTCTGTGATAAATATAAGTTCTCTTATAGTTTTGAGTCTTGGCTCTGAATTCTTTCCTAGCCAGAATTCAGGAACAGAGGTTGCTGAACCCAGATTTGGTCTGACCCCATCGATCTAGCACCTGGTACCATTCTCACTGCCTACAACAGGTCCATTATATAGTAAATGAGTAAATTCTTCCTCATTTAAGCCATGGAGTTCATATAATGGGACAAAAATTTAATCACAAGCTAAACATAAATATTCTAGTAAAAAAAGCCTTAGCCTACAACTAAGAAAACAGAGCATTTTAAAGAGGAGAAGAATGATACAGGATTACTCTAATGAATTAGTATACAGGGTGGAGCACAAGTAGATTTACAGTTGTGAGTACTCAAAACAAAGTTTATTCTCATATCATTACTTATTATCGTATTAGTTTCCATACAAACAACTGTAGTCTTACTTTTGCCTCACCCTATATAAATAATGCAGCTAGGTAGGGCGTTTGTGACATTCCCGATGAGATTCTGGAGTTCTCATAACAGACCAGTAGAGGCCATAACATATCAAATTCCTATAAAGGAACCACCCATGGCCAAGGAAACCAACTAACGGTTCAGAAAAATGACAAAATGACTCAGCTTCAGCTCTCTAGTCCCAAGCTCTATGGGATTGTTAACTACTGGCCAGAGAAAAAAGCTACAATGAGAGGGAGAAGCTCAGTCCTGACTTCAAACATTTGCACCCCAAACTTGTGTTACTTTCAAAACTGAATGCAGAACCTCCAGTCAATCCTTCACAGTAGTTTGCAAAACATCCCAAATCTCTGCAGCAACCCTATACAACGAATACGGGGGGATACAAAGGGTTTCAGAGCACTCCAATTGGCATAAATTAGAAATAGCTAGTTCCATATGTTAAACTTTCCCCACTTGTCAAGCCCCCAACGCTCCTCCCACTCACACTGGTGAGATCATGACCTACTCCTCACAACATACCCAATGCCCGAGAGTGCCTGACTTCCAGGAATGAAAAGGTCTGCCCTTCATGTGGACCTCTTTCTCAGGTCTTTCAGACTCTAGTGGTCTTGTATTCACTGTACTATAATTTCTTTCCAGACAATATGGCCATTCCTTTTCTCCCCCTTTTAAATGACTTCTTAAAGAAATCATTTATGTGGGCAAACATTCTTATTGGGCCATAATACTGGACAAAGTCTTATCACTTACTAGATACATTTCATGTAGTGACTAGTACTCAATTCTTAGATTCCTGCGAATAGCTCTTTCTTTTTTATTTCCCAACTAGAGGCCCGGTACACGAAATTCATGCACGGAGGGGTGGGGTATGTCGGACATCCCTCTCACAATCCAGGGCTGCTGGCTTCCAACCGCTTGCCTGCCTGCCTGCCTGCCTGATTACCCCTAACTGCTTCTCCCTGCCAGCCTGATCACACCCTAATCACTCCCCTGCCGGCCCTATTGCCCCTAACTGCCCTCCTCTGCAGGCCTGGTCACCCCTAACTGCCCTCCCCTGCTGGCCCAGTCACCCCTAACTGTCTCCCCTGCAGGCCTGGTTGCCCCCAACTGTCCTCCCTTGCTAGCCTGGTCGCCCCCAACTGCCCTCCCCTGCTAGCCTGGTCGCCCCCAACTGCCCTCCCCTGCTAGCCTGGTCGCCCCTAACTGCTCTCCCCTGCTGGCCATCTTGTGGCAGCCATCTTTGACCACATGGGGGTGGCCATCTTGTGTGTTGGAGTGATGGCCAATTTGCATATTGTTCTTTTATTAGATAGGATAACTCTCTTTTAACTACCAAGTCTTTATACAGCAGATTCTTCTAGATCAGGGGTGAGCAAACTTTTTGACTCGAGGGCCACAATGGGTTCTTAAACTGGACCGGAGGGCCGGAACAAAAGCATGGATGGAGTGTTTGTGTGAACTAATATAAATTCAAAGTAAACATCATTACATAAAAGGGTACGGTCTTTTTTTTTTAAGTTTTATTCATTTCAAACGGGCCGGATCCGGCCCGCGGGCCATAGTTTGCCCACGGCTGGTCTAGATGGAACCTATTACACTTCAAGGGAACAGAACAGACAATGTTAAATCAAATAGGATGCTACTCTATTCTGAGGAGGGCCTAAAATCTAAACATTATCTTCTCATATGCCCTCACTCTAACAGAATCACTAAACTATTTTAAATAGCAACTGTCACATTGTTTAAAAGGTAAAATCCAGCAAATTTGACTTCTAGGAATATATCTGAGAGATACATGCAAAAAAATTCTGACAATGCCCCTTGGCCAGAATGGCTCAGTGGTAGAGTGTCAGCCCTCGGACAAAGAGTTGAGGGTTCAACATCAATTGGTTGCCTACTGTATGCACCCTAACTGGGGATCAAACCCACAACCCAGGTATGAGCCCTGACTGGGAGCCCAATCACAACCTTTCAGTAGATGGGAGGATGCACCAAACAATTGAGCCACACCTGCCAGAGCATGGGAATGGCAATTTTTTTAAAAAGAATGATATGGAACTATAAATTCTAATATAGAACTATGTTCAAGAGATGTTATATAAATTCAAAAGCAAATTGCAGACTATTAGTTATTACATGACCCCATCTGAGTATTTGTGTGTGGGGGAGAGCAGAGAGAAAAAGAGAAAGAGAGCTATGGAGGGGCACTTTTTGAAAATGATGATTTCATTTTTAAAGTGGAATGGAACTAGGTTAAATAGTAAGTTATATTATTCTTTTATTGTTTGAATTTATCACTTTGTGCATAACTTTCATAATGAAAAAGATAGTTTCAAATTTTGATTTAATAGAAAGGATAAACAGTGAACAGATGCCATTTTTAAAGAAGGTGAGGAATCACAATACCAATTCTTACCAATTATATAGTACTAGAGGCCCAGTGCATAAATTCATGCACCAGTGGGATCCATAGGCCAGGCCCGTGGGATCAGGCTGAAACTGGCTCTCCAACATCCCCGGAGGGGTCCCAGATTGCGAGAGGGTGCAGGCCAGGCCAAGGGACCCTACCAGTGCACTATCGGGGCTGAGGAGGGATGTGGGAGGTTGGCCAGCTGGGGAGGGACCGTGGGAGGGCTCCAGGGCATGTCTGGCCTGTCTAGCTCAGTCCCTATCGGCCAGACCCCAGCAGCAAGCTAACCTACCAGTTGGAGCGTCTGCCACCTGGTGGTCAATGCACATCATAGCGAGTGGTTGAGTGGCCTTAGCATATCATTAGCATATTATGCTTTGATTGGTTGACCAGACGACCAGACACTTAGCATATTAGGCTTTTATTATATAGGATTATTATATAGGATTGGCACTACAAATATTTTCTGGAGCTAAAGAAAACCTAAGAGATTTTATGGACAACTTAAGGATCTGTGATTACAAACTTGTATGAATTCATTCCTATAAATTTGAAGACTACTCTAAAAAAAGTGTTTGTGTGAACCTATTACACTTCAAGGGAACCCTAACTCCAAGTAAAAATTAGTAAGTGTAAATTTATAGTAAATATATTAATAGAATTCTATGTATCATTTGCAGTAAACAAGAGTCACAGATTCAGATTTAGAAGGGATCTTAAGTCATCTATTCCAACCCTCCTAACATCATTCAGACAGAATAGAAAAAAAACAAAATCAATACAGTAGAAGCCTGCTGAGAGAGCTGACTTCCCTGAAGCTGAGAACCAGTCTTAAGAATATAGTATACCAGAAATGTCGCCCTCAAACGGAGACACCTGGTAATCATTCACTAAAAAAAAAGATTTTGGTCTAAGATGCCAAGTTGCCTAGGTCAATTCTAAACAAGTTGGTTGACTTAATTTTCTAGTTTCAAAGTTTTCAATTTGTTTCCAATCAAAAGAAACAGACTATGTTGCAGGTTGATTTTAATGAACAAAAATCTGTATAAAAACATTTAAACTTTATCAAATGCTTTAAAAACGCACACATCCAAATCCAGTACATAATCTTTGAACATTATCTTTTTTCAACTCAACACATGTGTAAAGGGATTTCTGGATAAAACTTTACATGCGAAAAAAAAAAGGACCTATAGTCTTACACATGTAAACACACAATCATTCTTTAAGAAAGAGCAAAAATATATGGGAAGAATGTGAATGGAATCAGAAGGAATTTCTTATAAAGCTTAAATAAAGGAACATTACAGGAGTAAAAGAACTTCTTATACCAAGAGGAAATGCAGAGGGGAAAGAAAAAGGAGGGGTTAGTTTATCTCGTTAATAAATAGTTTGAGAAGGTCATTCAAGAACAGTGAATTTTGGGAATTATAGAAAATCCCTCGTTTTCACCACCTCAAATTCTGTGATCTGATAACTGATGGTGTTTACAAAGCACTTATGTTTTTACTTTTTGTAGATTTTCATTTGGTCATTAGCTGTGGTTTGTCCCGTTCAGTGGTTAAATACTCAGTTCTCACTCAGTGTTATGTCCTATTCACCAGAAGAGCCACAGTAAGAAATGATGACAAGCACAGGATACTGCAAGGGTGGCCATAAGGAGTGGCAATTTTTAAGAACCAGACTGCCTGGTTTTGGATCTCAGCATCACACTGCCTGCTAGCTGCCCGTTACTCAGCAAGCTACTTAGCCACTACATGTCTCCATTTCCTCATCTTCAATTAGGGATCATTATTACCTCTTCATATAGGATTATTAAGAGGATTTAAACAAGATAATCCATTAGAAGAATTTTCACACTGCCTGGCACAAATAAATGCCCCATAAATGTTAGCTAAAATTAATATTAGTCATAATATTACAGGGGAACCAAAAGAAAAATTCTCTTTGATGAGGTTTTCAGGGGCCGACTGTGGTAAAAGCCAGTTTATGTTTGATGCAAAAGAGATTGAGGCTCTAGTCTTATGAATATAGATGTTCATTTTTTTATATTAGAAAAAAATTACACAAGAGCTCCATATCACAAAATTTAACATCTTTCCATTAAACATCACACAATTATCATCATCATTATGTCCTACATACACCCCAAATGAAATGGAGCTTCTACTGATATTCAATAACAACAGAGTCCAGAAATTTTAACTAAGAAACAGCGGCAGAAATGCATGTTGGGCAGTAATCTGTGTATGCCACAAGAGCTGGGGCCCACACAGATGGCTGAGCTGCTGCCTCCATGACCTGGACTCCCCCCACACAGCCAGATTCCTGCAGACCTTCAAATCTCCATTTGCAACCTCTTCGAGAGAGGAGTTTCCAAGCGGTGAAGGAAGCAGCAGCCAGTGAGGATGGAATGCCCCACACCTACTTCAGTATAATATGATAGCTATCACTGGTTTCTGCTGTAAAAAAAGGAAAAAAAAGAGAGAGTAATCTTTAGTCATCTTTAAGACACATGAGAAAGACAAAAGTACAGTTAGGTTCTTTTGAGAGAAAAAAACACACAGCAGAGCAAAGAGCAGCATACGTATTAATTGTCACAGAATACTTATAATAAATTTGCATTATAAAAACATGCCTCAATGTCCTCATTTGTCCATGAAAGGCGAAAGAGAATGGCGGAGAATCATCAATTATACTTTGTCTATTCTGACAATGACAAAAAGCCATTCATACAAAGGTACACCTCTAATGTTATGTCACTTTCTCTGCCTCAAATATGGTGATTCATACCTTCCCTCTCTCCTCAAAGAAGTATGAAAAAAAAGCTCTTAAGCTCCTTAGAAAAAGGTATTTGTTTTACTATTTTATTACCTTTCATGGTGTCCAGAATAAAACAGGCTTCTTCCTGAAAATTCTGTATCATCTGAAAAAAAAAAGCAAGAAAATTTGCTGATTTAAAAAAACTTGGGTTTGTTGTATTTATTTTGCTATGTGGCTTTTTATAATGTTAGATTTAAGTGAAAAATAATCCTTTGCTTTGTTTTCTCCCATTTAGTTTCTAAGTTTTAAAAGCTAAGTCGTTTAAAACAGTGATCTTAAAATTGGAGTATGCATATTCCTGGGTTAACCCCAAGACTTTCCAAGGGCACACGGACACTGAGAGGCCCATATGAGAGAACTGACCTCTAGTTCTCCAACTTCCATATCTACTCTTTTCTAAAACTGCCTGAAAACCTCTTCAGTTTTCCTTTCCCACTTTTCCTTCTCAAACTCCCTTTGCCCATTTTATAAAATAAAGGCATGTGTTTCACCTTCCTGGAATCCTACCAAAATGCATTGCCCTGAGTATAAAAGCTTCCAGAATGCCCAAGTATCACTGCAACTGTAAACTCTAATGACTTAGTGGGGGTCACATGGTTACCAATTCTTTCTTTTCACCAGAATTGGAGTGACCTAATCACAAACTGTCAAGTGATAGATGATTCAAAATAATTTTTGACAACATTACTATGTAATTTTTGGCACATAACTCAGAAGTTAAAAAAAATAGAGCAATGTTGTCATAACAAAACCCCATCCACTGCTGTCAGTCAATAAACATGAACCAGGTTCCACAACACTTACATCTAGAGGAAAAAACAGATGGAACTGATGCTGAACTCTATTTCATTCTATAGGCAGTATTCATCTATGGATGAATTAACTGTGTGTGAGACAGGGGGTAGGGAATCAAACAATCCCATCCATCTCATTAATAGATGTATTTATAATAATTTTTTCTTCATGTGTTTAATAATTACTCATCAAAACATGTAATACATTTATGTTGTTTTAATCAACTGTATAATTAATGGTGTTAATTCTATTCAGAAGAAATAATCTATCAATTTTACTGAAACAAATTTTTTATTGATTTTTTTTTTTTTCAGAGAGAGGAAGAGAGAGGGAGATAGAAAATATCAATGATGAAAGAGAATCATTGATCGGCTGGGGATCCCCTACTGAGGATCAATCACATAACCCAGGTATGTGCCCTGACAGGGTATTGAACAGTGACCCCCTGGGTCATGGGTCAATGCTCAATCACTGAGCCACACTGCCTGGGCCTAAAACAATTTTTTTGTTGAAGCAAATGTTTACCTCAATTAAATATGATAAAAAATTAATAAAAAATGTTCAAGAATAAAAATGTTATGGTAAGATAAAATTATATGGAGAAGTAAATGGAAATATGAATTCAAGGAAATTATATAAAAATTCTGTTAAAAAGTATATTCATGTATTTCTTTTAAACAGATGGTATTAAATCACTTGTATTTAGGTTACATGGGATATAGTTAGAACAGTGAAGGAACCATTTCAGAATTATTTTATTAAATTTTTTTTTTCTAATCTTCACCTGAGGACATGCTTAGAGAGGAAGGGAGAGAGAGAAACAATGATTGTTGCCTTCCAAACATGCTGTATACAGCCCAGGTATGTGCCCTGACTGGGAATCAAACTGTCAACCTTTCCGTGTATAGGACACATCACTCAACCAACTGAGCCACTCCAGCCAGGCAACCATTTCATTTTTTAAATGTCATATAATATCCCCAGAAATAGCATCCTGCAACTTCATTTAAACTTAAAGGAGCCCTGGCCCATGTTGCTCATGATTAGAGGGTCAGCCCTCGGACCAAAGGGTCTCGGGTTCAATTCCCAGCCAAGGGTACGTACCTTGGTTACAGGTTCGATCCCAGGCCCTGGTCAGGGTGTGTGTAGAAGGCAACCAATCAATGTTTCTTTCTCTCTCTCTCTCTCTCTCTCTCTCTCTCTGCCCCTTCTCCCCTCCCTTCCACTCTCTCTAAAAGTCAATGGAAAAAATATCCTTGGGTGAGAAAAAATAAAAATAAATAAACTTGAGAAAAAATTTTAAGTCCCTAAAAATGTGCAAAGAGATATATATTTTTAAAAAATAATTTTAGGAGGTAAGCAAGCAAAAACATCTGGGAACCTCAGATCTAGAAAACAGAGCACTCTGCCCCAACAGAACTGCTCTTGCTCCTGCTATATGCCCTGACAACTTCATTGTCATCTGGTGATTCAGCTGTACTGAAAATCTACCTCATCACTAATGAGCACATGGATTCCTGTTGGGCCCTGCTTGTAGATCTGGCTGATCTGGCAAGGGGAAATGCTGAAAAGCTGAGCAATTTTTTCTGTCAATTCAACAGCTGTCAGTTCTTCTAGGTAGATGGCATGGTACACTGCAAAAAGGAGAAAGCAATGGCAGTCAGTACAAAGTTTATCTGTTCTTAAACTTTATCTGTTCTTATCTGTGCCCTTGATTGGTAATCTGATCACTAGGAACGCTCAATTTCTGAAGGACTCAAAGTCAAATCCTGAGTCTTGACTCAACCACTTGCTTGTGGTTGAGAGTAAGTTACATAAGATCCCTAAGTCTCATTTTCCTAACCTAAATGTGGGAGATAACAATAAAATCTACTGCAAAGAGGAGATACTAGTTGTAAAAATTCAAATGTATAAAAAAGTGCTGAGAATAGTGTCTGGCATATATTAGGAACTCAAGCTATTACCATTACTTCTAGCAAATTGCTTCTAAACCTGCTATTTGATAAATTCCTATCACACATGCTTGTAAGTAACCTCTTTACCTTTTTTTCATATCTCTCCTGGCCTTGTCCCGAATGACCTACCGAAGAAAGTACCATTTGAGTCTCCATCCTCATGCTTCTGCTGCTGCTGCTGCTGCTGCTGCTGTTGCTGCTGCTCCCTCAACTGCAAGGATTCCTGACAAACATAAATGGTTAGCCTTGGGCGCACCATCCTAGTGAGAGAGAAAAAAGCTGTTAGCCTTATATTTTTCACGGCAAGCACATTTTAAGGGACAACTTGTGTAGTTATGTTAATACTATAGAGCAATGGTTGAAAATTGGCAGCCCATGGGCCAATGCAGCTCATTTGCCCTGTTTTATTAGCTTCCGTGTGTGTGTGTGTGTGTGTGTGTGTGTGTGTGTGTGTGTGTGCGTGCGCGCACACGTGCACGTGCACACATTTAACTGAATTCCTTCCAACGGAAGGCACCATATAAACCTCTGAATTTTTGGCTTTTCAAAAATCAGATCTGGCAATCCAAAGCCTCATTCCACAAGATAACAAGATAACAATCGGCTCTTCTCCTTGAATGGGGCATGCATTCTTCAGTACACTCCAGGCTTGACTGTCACTCATTTACAAGTGGCCTCTGTAGCCACCTGAGTTAGCGACTTTTGATGTACAGGTTAGAAATACAGATGTTCCTCAATATACAGTGGGGTTATGTCCCGATAAACCCATCATAAACTGAAAATATCATAAATAAAAAATGCATTTAATACACCTAATCTACCAAAGATCATAGCTTAGCCTAGCCCCGTGGTCGGCAAACCGCGGCTCGCGAGCCACGTGTGGCTCTTCCACAAAATACCACGTGCGGGCACGCATGTACAGTGCGATTGAAACTTCATGGCCCATGCGCAGAAGTTAGTATTTTGAGGAAGAGCCGGTATTTTGTGGAAGAGCCACACTCAAGGGGCCAAAGAGCCACGTGTGGCTCGCAAGCTGCGGTTTGCCGAACCGCAGTTTGCTGACCACTGGCCTAGCCTACCTTAAACATGATCAGATCACTTACATGAGCCTATAGTAGGGCAAAATTATCTTACTGCCACTGCTCAGCATTATAGTATTACTAGAAGCCCGGTGCACGAATTCGTGCACAGGTGTGTGTGTGTGTGTGTGGGGGGGGGGGGGCCCTCGACCTGGCTGGATTGGTGCCGGCCAGGGGAAGGGATCACGGGAGAAAGGGACCATGGGAGAATGGCCAGCAGCCAGAGATTGGCTGTGGGAGCACACTGACCAGCAGGGGCCAGCTCCTGTGTTGAGCATCTGCCCCTGGTGGTCAGTGTGTCATCATAGTGACCATTCAATTGGTCGTTTGGTTGACTGGTCATAACGGTCGCTTAGGCTTTTATATATATAGATAGATACCACTTATCATTAGAGCCGGAGAAAGACCAAAATTCACAATTTGAAGTACAGTTTCTACTGATTCATATCACTTTCACACCATCATAAAGTTGAACAATCATAAGTTGAGCCATCATAAGTCAGGAATCAGCTATTTTCAAAATGTATGAGCCAGCCCTGGCCAGTGTTGCTCAATGGTTAGAGTGTCAGCCTGTGCACTGAAGGGACTCCGGTTCGATTCCCAATCAAGGGCACACACCTGGATTGCAGGTGCATGTGCAGGAAGCAACCAGTCAATGTGTCTCTCTCACATTGATGTTTCTCTCTCTCTCTCTCTCCTCCCTCTCTTCTACTCTCTCTGAAAAGCAATGGAAAAAAATATCCTCAGGTGAGGATTAAAAAAAATTTTAAAAAACACAAAAAAAACTAAGTAGCCTAAACCTTCTTTCTGTTCTCACTTCTTTGGAGAGAGTGGAAGGGAGGGGGAGAGACAGAGAGCAAGAGAAGCATGGATGTGAGAGAGACACATCATTTGGTTGCCTCCACATGTGGGCAACTGAGGTAGGTGCCAAAACCAGTTAGTGCAGTTCTTACTTCTTTGATAACCCTATTCAATTACTTCTTGATCTCATTACTTTATTGCTCACTATTTCTTTTTTTAAAATTTATTTTTTTCCATCACTGCTTCCTGTTTTTTAGTGCTCTTTAGATAATACATGTAAAAATGAAATATCCATTCCCCAAGTCATTTATTCCTGAATTTCACCTCTTTCCTTAAAATTTTTCAAGATTCTAGCCAACCTGATAACTCTTGTGATGTACAAACACAAATACTACACAATCTGTGTCATTATTTAGTCACTGATTTGGTTCTATGGCATTGACCTGTATGTTTTTTCCATTAATATTACTAGTACCTATTGGAAATTAGAAATCACAAATTGGGTCTATAAGACACTCTCTGTATTATAAACAATATTTGTAAGAAGACCACTTAAGCAATTCCTGTACAAACTTAAGAATGACCTATTCTTTTTTTTTTTTTTAATATATTTTATTGATTTTTTTACAGAGAGGAAGGGAGAGAGATAGAGTTAGAAACATCGATGAGAGAGAAACATCGATCAGCTGCCTCCTGCACACCCCCCACTGGGGATGTGCCCGCAACCCAGGTATATGCCCTTGACCGGAATCGAACCTGGGACCTTTCAGTCCGCAGGCCGACGCTCTATCCACTGAGCCAAACCGGTTTTGGCAAGAATGATCTATTCTTTAGCTAAAACTGAATTCAGAGCCTTAACATCTGTTGTTCCCTCTGCCTAGAAGGCTCTTCCCTCATAATCTTGTTTTCTCATAACAGTTTAAATAATCCCTCCTTCCATCCAAGTACTAACCAGGCCTGGCCTTGCTTAGCTTCCAAGATCAGGGTGGTGTGGCCGTAGATGGTAAATAATCCCTCCTCAGAAAGATCTTTCCTAACCAAATGCTGGGTACTCGATAGGTCACAACCTTGTTTTGTTTGTTTTACTTCAAAGTACTATCACTAACCAAAATACTGTTTATATCTTTTTCTCTCTTTCCATTAGAAAGTAGTCTCCATGTTTCTTTTGCTCTCTAATATATCCCCAGAGCCCAATGGCTCATAAGAGGGACAATGAATATTTATTGAATGAAAAAAACTACCTGAAAATAAAAAATGGGATATCATGAGGAATTCCTTGAATCAAGTGTAAGAAAGGATATTTTTCATCTTTGTTTATTTGGTACATAGTTAGCATTCAAATGGAATGTTTTGACAAGATGGATTTAGCTGTGCAATGAAAACTGTGAAGAATCCCTGAATCCAAATCCATTTGAAATCCAACCTCACTGATATTTTAACACTAAACACTAATCACATACCGGCCTTTTAACGCATTAAACAGTCTGATTCCATCTGCAGGGCCACAGATTTGGATCACATCATCTCTAGTTAGTTTCAATAAATCTGCCCCTGAAATAAATATAAGAAAACGGGTGATAGAGGCAAAGATTTTCTTTGTTAATAACGATTAAAATGGGCTCAGTTACAAGGACACCTCATTACTACTATGTTATAATCCATAATCTTTTGCATGGTGTGTAAGGCCCTCCATGATCTGGCCCCTGCTCGTCTCCCACCTCAATTCCCACCCAATTACTTCTCCACTTAACCCTATATTTTCATCACAATGACGATGTCTAATGAGAAGTTGCTCCTCTTGCCTGAATTAACCTTCCACTGTCTGACCAACAGACTCCTCCTCATTCTTCATGCATCACACATGTTCCCTAACCCCTCTAAATGCCTAACTTCGTATCTACTACATCACAACTACTTGTTTACCCCCTTTTTCGGAGGGGGGGAGGTATTTTGATTTTTTGATACTAGATAATGAATGAACAGGAAATATGTATGCCTCATCCATCTGTGTATTCCTACCATACCTGGTAACCGAAGGTATGAAATAAAAGTGGAATTTGCAAATAAAATACAATATAGTGATATCAAGGGGACATTTCAGACTACCTCCAAATGTTCCTTGATAAAATACTATATGAAGTGTTGTAAAGAATAAATATTTTAAAATTAAAGTGAGTTTAAACTAAGATCTTTCTTTTTAAGTATTTAACAGCACACACACACACACACACACACACACACACACACACATACCCTCACACGGATACCAGAAGGCCCTAGAATATAAAAGAATATCCCATGCTGGAGAAAACAAAGGACAAGCAAATTTAACCTGAGAAGTTTGTAAAAAGCCTTGTGAATGTAGAAAACCGGTTTCGATGCAACCACTGCTGAGCTTCCTGAGGTGTGGTTGTTGGCAAGAGGTTCTGAAAGAGAGAAAGCAATTTTTTTTGGTAACTAAATAGGCTGAATTTCAAAAAGGTAAATGTTATTAGGTAACACATAGCCAAACACACCCACACTCAGATAGGTCTAGTTTGCTTGGAAGTTGTTTGTACATCAGTCTTCTTTCTCTAACCATACAAGATACCCTTGGAATTCCATCCTTATCTCCCCACTAGATTGTAAATTCCTTAAATACAAGGGTCCTACATTACTTGTTTTATATCTGCAGTCCCTAGCACAGTATCTGTTCATAGTCAAAATTCAATAAATGTTTGTTTAATGAATGAATGAATACTCCTTACAAGCTGGGCACTTCTATTGAACTGCATAGTCATCAAAGTATTATTAGACATTGCAAATAACTGACATTTAACTTTAGACTTACATCTGTGACTGGCGGGGGCGGCTCTGGCTGGTGGTTTGGTGAACCATTTCTAAAGAAACATTTATAATGAAAGGATGAGTCCATCACACATACTAAGCTTCATCATCATTCTTCACTCTCACAGTAAGTCCTAAACTAGAGATTTAAAGAAATCTGTGCTTTTCTCATAAAACACTCTTATTCTTGGACCCAATACTTCTATTATCTACTAATTAATTGTAAAGATTTTTGGGGGAGGGTTGAAGGGGGAGAAGCTATGACATTTGCAACATTTTATTATTATTGGAGAAATTGGAAAAAATCAAGATTCCAATACGTTGGGACTTATTAGATAAATTAGGGCAGTGATGGCGAACCTTTTGAGCTCGGCGTGTAAGCATTTTGAAAAACCCTAACTTAACTCTGGTGCCATGTCACATATAGAAATTTTTTGATATTTGCAACCATAGTAAAACAAAGACTTATATTTTTGATATTTATTTTATATATTTAAATGCCATTTAACAAAGAAAAATCAACCAAAAAAATGAGTTCGCGTGTCACCTCTGACACGCGTGTCATAGGTTCTCCACCACTGAATTAGGGCATAAACAGTATTTAATATAAATTGATTAGAATGTAAACTAAGTGTCAGAATATAAAAGTAATCAATATATTACTGCATCAAATATATAAATGTACAAACACACAGGGAAAATATTAGAATAAAATTTATGAGATGCAATGGGATCCCACACTTTTTATAGTAAAAAACAATAATTTTTTTAAAAACATATTTTATTGATTTTTTACAGAGAGGAAGGGAGAGGGATAGAGAGTTAGAAACATCGATGAGAGAGAAACATCGACCAGCCGCCTCCTGCACACCCCCTACTGGGGATGTGCCCGCAACCGAGGTACGTGCCCTTGACCAGAATCGAACCTGGGACCTTTCAGTCCGCAGGCAGACGCTCCATCCACTGAGCCAAACCGGTTTGGCAACAATAATTATTTTTAAAACAGCTTCAAAAATTAGTGTTATCTAAGGGCTAATCCAAGGGCTATTTCTACACTGTAGGTTTTTCCCTGTACTTCCTTTTGCTTTACAGACTGTCCCTCTTCCCTAATGTTTACTTTTTTTTATGAGTGGAAATTTGAGCCTAATAATGAAGTACATGACAAAAAGGGAAAAAAACCTTTTAAATCCTATATAATAATTAAAATTGCTTATACGTCGGCTGAATAATCCATGTGAATAAGAGATTTTTCTTTCCTAAAAGGTATTTTTTCTTTTTCCCCCCCTTAACTGCAAAATTCAAATTCAGTCTTCAAATTTACTGAGTAACTTATCTCAAGGCCCTAGTTAACTCTTCTTTCTACAACTTCTACCTATTTTTATTCTTAATTGATGCATGTTGAATATTTAAGCCACCTTAATTAAATATTTCAGAAACAGGTTGAACACAGAGCCTAAATAAATTAAAAACAAACATTACAACCAAGCAATATATTCACACATTTCACAGCCTATTTGAAATTTCAATATGGCCCACGTGAAATATGTGCTAATAGCTAAGACACTCTTTAGCGATCATGTTCAACCTTCTTCCCTGATTAGCAAAGATTCATGATAATTAGGTGTTAGGATCATTCTTCAGATATTAACAAAACAGATATTAATGTTTGTACAACTGTGTTTCAATTCTGATGACCAGTCTCTGGTGAGAGTATGATCAGGAAGTGAAATAATCAAAAAAAGCAGTAATAGGGAGAAGTGAAAAGCCCAGAAAATCAGTCCCTGACTCACTAAAAACTGACTGTAAAAGTGATTTTCTAATGGGAGGACAAAAGAAGAGAAAGGGGTACGTAAAACTCTTTCAGTCTCTTACAAGCAACACCCTGGCAGATGATCATAACTGTCTGACGCAATTTGAGCTTGCCATAGCAACGGAGTCTAACCTATTTCCGTGCAATCTCCTCTATGAGACAAGGCCTTACATAGACACAGACAGTGTTAAAAACAAAATACCTTCCGTGTCTTTGAAGGTAATCCAAACCTCAGTTACAATGTAAGTCCATCAGAGACTGACCAAATAGAAGTACTGATTGATTTAGAAAGATCTTGTCTATAGAAAGATAATAAAAAATACACATTTAGGACAAAACACAAGCCAATTTCATTTCCCAGACTTACCCTTCCCCAAGGGAAAAACTGCTATGCGAACTGTTGAAGCCAGGGGATGGGGAATTATTGACATATGTGATTTCGGGCCATGGAGAACACTAAAACAAAGGAAAACTTAGGTACTAAAAAGTATACTTGAACCTAGTGTTCGACCAAAACATGGTTACTTAAATGGCACATCTTGATTAGTAAAAGTAAATTTTAGTTCTTCAGAGCCCCCCATCACTAAGAGGTCAAATAAATTTTGAACAGGTGGAAAATAATTTTTAAAAACTGAGATATAACTGATACATAACATTATATTAGTTTTAGGTAAATCACAAGATAATGATTTGATATATGTAATTGACTGGATTTTTTTCTTAAGAATAAAAAGTATTGATTAAAATTGTCACCAAAAGAAATCTTTTACCTCTGTAAGTATAGTGGTCTCATAGGAAGGTTGATATTTCTCCTTTTCATGAGGTGTTCGTTTCTCCATTTTCTCTCTATCTGTTTTTTGTTTTCTGTCTGCACCTTTGGGCTGAAATGAGAAATACTTTGTTTTAAACTTACGCTTCACCCAACAATATTATTTCTAAAAACTTAAACAGTCACAAGTGAAACAAATATATATTCTAGTGATATAGTAAAGACAAAATGCATCATTGCATATAAGTCTGAAAATAGGAAATTTAAATGTTTGAGGAAGTTAAAAAAGAATAGGAGATCTATAACTATGGACATGGAAAGATCTCTAAAGCACCAGGTTAACTGAAAAAGTAAGCCTCAAAACAGTTCATACCGTATAATCCCACTTATGTTCAAAAGAAAAGAAAATATGTGTATACCTATGAACGTGTGTACTAAAAGCACAGGGGACTAGAAGGATACATACACACTAAATTGTAACAGTGGTTACCTCTGGGGAGAGGCTGCAGAGTCGGGGTAAGAGTGATAAAGGGGAACGTCAGTGCTCGGGACACTTTTGTATTAATGAATCTTCTTAAATGAGAACATATTTATCCATGTGATAAAGACCAAAATAAGGAAAGAAGATTAAGTATGAATGTAACCAAAACTGTCAACTTTTCATAATTTTTGTGAGTTTTTAAAAGAGTTTATCACTTTAACAGGCTTTAAGAGCATTCAATGAAAATCCATGAGTTTTCATAGTTTAGTTTTTAAAAAAAAACAAACAAGCTGGCTTTCTGACTTGGGACTAAATGTTACAACTGAAAGATGAGGCAAGTAGTTCCAAGGCCACCACAACGCCCAGGAATACCTTGAAGACTTTGATCTGGCAGCTGGCTGAGTGCAAGTGCTCAGTATACTCCCCGTTCTCATTCTCCTTGAAGGTATCGATTTGTACTCGGAATGGCACTCCCTTTTCTCCGCCATGTTTCCTCATGGTGAACTCTGTGCTGATACAGTGCACCTGAAGAGAAGACAATGTCCACGTTCCAGTACTGCTAAGCCAGACAAATACTAATAGCAAACCTTCTCAAAAGCACTGTGAACAACTACAAAAAAAACTTTTACTCTTTTTATCTTGAAGAATTTATACTCTAATGATGGAAATGAGGAAAACTTAAATTACAAATGCGAACAAAATAGATCTAATGTTGCCCTACCCAGTTTGGCTCTGTGGATAGATAAAGTGTCAGCCTGTGGACCAAAGGGTCCTGGGTTCAATTCCAGTCAAGGGCACATACCTTGGTTACAGGCTCCTCCCTGGCCGGGACCTGGTCAGGGCCCGGGCAGGAGGCAACCAATCGATGTGTTTCTCTCACATCGATGTTTCTCTCTGTCTTCCCTCTCTTTCCCACTCTCCCTAAAAATCAATGGAAAAATATCCTTGGGTAAGGATTAACAACAACAACAAAAATATATCTAATGCTAACAAAAGCTACTGTGAGGAATTAAATTATTTCTGTTAGTAAAAGTTTCCTGGACTTTTAGATAGATTTTAGCAAGCGGAGGCACCATCTATGCTGGGGAAATAGTATATATAAAAGCTGGCAATAGGAGGAAAAAGGTTTGCCTGGCTTCTGCATAAAGTCTAAGACCTTGGTGAATCTGAACAGTGGAACTCTGACTGACCAAATACTAGCTTGGGTAAGTTATTAACTTCTCTAAGTATCAAGGACTAGTCCTACTCCACAGGATTATTGTTGAAAATCTTAAATAAAATTATGTATACAAAGTGTTAACATGGGGACCAATCTATTAGCTATCATGATGACAAATAAGAATTTTCAAGGAATCTACCCAAAGGTGATAATCACATATGCAAATCAAATTTTAAGTATAAAGATGTTCAAAATAACCTTATGGATAATAGTGAAAAATTAGGACAATCTCAATGCTAAATAATCATTAGATAAGTTATGGTATATCCAGAATAAAATACAGGGTGGGGCAAAAGTAGGTTTACAGTTGTGAGTATGCAAAACACAGAGTGTATTCTTATATTATTTATTAATTGTTGTATTATTTTCCATAGGAACAGATGTAAACCTACTTTTGACCTACCTTGTATTATGTGGCCATTAGTAAGCATTTTGGGGAGAAACAAATACATAAATTGGGGAAATCAGAAGAGCAATGAAGAAACTCCTCATTGCTCTCAGGAACATGCTGAGGAGTCTGCACTTGAGAGTCATACTGGAGCCCGGGAAAGATTTCCAACTCAACATGTTGTATTCTTTAAGAAACAACTTTGTAGTAAGAGATGCTCTTCATAACTGGAACCCCATTTGCAATGCCTTACCTGAATAAACACAGATGTCCTCTTTGCAGGGTCCCACAGGAACTCCACTGTGTTTAGTTGGTTTGGATTAGCCCGAGGATCAATTATACCCACAGACATTGGGATATCTGAGAAACAAACAGTATTCATTGAACAATTTTGAGTGCTACTGGGTTTAAGTAAGAAAGCACTGATTCTTATACAGGTATTGTTGGTCTCTAGTTACCAAGATTTTTATGTAAACCTCTTTTTGCCAGTGAAAGAGGTTTGAATAGAGCTAACATTAATCTAAATACTTTGCTTCTGAGTATCTTTTTTCTACTTTAAAAAGTTTAATTCCACTTAAAAATAGATTTAGTCTACACACTAGCTGTAGTGTCATGAAAATTGTAACATAATCTGCTTCACTTACTTTCTGGATTAGTGTTACTGCCAAAAGTACACTAGGAGTATTGCTATAGAAGGATAAAGTAGAGTGTCTGAATAAAGGCATAAAGTATTGTATCACAGATAGAAGTGGGAAAGTCATCAAATAATCCTATAGCAGAGTGACATATCTGACATTCAGGAGGTAAGCAAAAATGAATGGGCTTTAGTAGAACTTTGCATTCCATTCCATATAGCACAAACTCAAATACCATTCCCTGGCTTCTATTAATATTCAAACTAAGTGATAAGGCGAGGCTAATATTATAACTGCGCTCTAACTATACTGTTTTAGTATCAATGATTTAAACAAGAAAGCGTTAAGTGGATCCTACTCCACAGTGTTAGTTGTGTTGGATTCATCTTAAAGCCAATTTTATTCTATGGATTGTGTATGAGAACCAGTGTTTTCTCAGGTAAATCTAATAGTACTCAGATTTAATTATGTTTACCAATAGGAGATAGTAACCAATAAGAGACCAAAGACACAAATGATGGGATTCAAAGTATGTTTACAAAGAGAGCCTGTGCATGTTTATAAAGATCTTTCCCTTTTGTGCCATGGTTTAAGAAAACCAAATTCTACCCTGTGGAGAAAGGTAGAAAAACTTGAACCGCAAACCAAGAGACATAGATTCGAATCCCAGGCCGCCTACTTTAGGTAAGACAAAGGACTAGGTCTCAGGTATCTACACTAATAAAAGAGAAACATGGTAATTGGCGTACGACCGCTACCCTTCCCATTGGCTAATCCCCCTGTCACTCACAGAGTAGGGCCGAGATATGCAAATTAACTGGCAGCCAAGATGGCGGCCGGCAGCCAGGCAGCTGATGCGAACGGGGAGGCTTGCTTGCTTCAGTGACGGAGGACTCCAACGTTCCCCGCCTGACTTGCTGGCCTCTCAGCTGCAACTCTAAGCAACTATGTTGCGAATAAAGAAGCTAAAAAAAACCCCAGAAACCTGCTTTACTCAGCGGAGCTTCAGCCAACTGGACCGCAACATTGTATCAAATACAGACGGTAAACAAAGGCCAGAAACCTGTTTTCAGCAGCCCAGGCCTCAGAGCTAAAGCTGGCCCAGAATAAAAAAGAAAAAAAAAGAAAAAAAGGAGCGGTTGGGAGCTTCAGTCCCAGCCTGAAAACAGCCCTCAGCCCCTCAGCCAGACTGGCCAGGCACCCCAGTGGGGACCTCCATCCTGAAGGGTGTGTGACCAGCTGCAAACAACCATCATCCCCTCATCCAGGCTGGCCAGGCACCCCAGTGAGGACCCCCACCCTGATCCAGGACACCCTTCAGGGCAAACCAGCCGGCACCCACCCATGCACCAGGCCTCTACCCTATATAGTAAAAGGGTAATATGCCTCCCAGCACCGGGATCAGCGGAGCCGCGAGGGCTCCCGGCACTGGGATCAGCGTGACAGGGGGCAGCGCCCAAACCCCCTGATCGCCCTGCAGCTCTGTGTGTGACAGGGGGCGGGGCCCCAACCCCCCTGCCTCCCATGGGCCCTGTTCTGTGTGTGACGGGGTAGAGCCATAACCTCCCCATTGGCCCTGCCCTGAGTATGAGAGTGGCGGCGCCCCAACCACCTGATCGGCCCTGCTCTGTGGGTGTTAGAGGGCGGCGCCCCAACCCCCCCTGCCCCCCATGGGCCCTGCTCTGTGTGTGATGGGGTAGAGTCATAACCTCCCCATCTGCCCTGCCCTGAGAGTGACAGTGGCGGCGCCCCAACCACCTGATCGGCCCTGCTCTGTGGGTGATAGAGGGCGGCGCCCCAACCCCGATTGACCCTGCTCTGTGCATGACAGAGTATGGAGCCCCAACCCCCCTGATGGGCCCTGCTCTGTGCGTGACAGGGGATGGTGCTGCAACCTCCCCATCTACCCTGCCTTGAATATGACAGGGGGCGGTGCCCCAACCCCCCAATCGGCCCTACCCTGAGCGTGACTGAGGGTGGCATCGCAACCTCCCAATCTGCCCTGCTCTGTGCATGACAGGGGAAGGCACCCCAACTCCCCAATCGGCCCTGCTCTGAGCCCGACCAGGGGCTGCGCCTAGGGATTGGGCCTGCCCTCTGCCACCTGGGTGCAGGCCTAAGCCAGCAGGTCGTTATCTCCTGAGGGGTCCCAGACTGCAAGAGGGCACAGGCCGGTCTGAGGGACCCCCCCTTCCCCCGAGTGCACAAATTTTTGTGCACTGGGCCTCTAGTTAGTAAAATAAAAGAACTTTGAGGAATTTAGGGGCAAAACCTGGCCCTTTTATACACTACTCAAAACAAAATATCAGACCTGGAATAGCCAAAACAATCTTGAAAAGTAACAAAATTGGAGGTCTCATACTTTTTTATTCCAAAACTTCCTACATGCCCTGGCTGGGTAGCTCAGTTGGTTAGAGCATCATCCTAATACAGCAAGACTGCAGATTTGATCCCCAGTCAGGGCACATACAGGAATCAACCAATGAATGCATAAATAAGTGGAACAACAAATCAATGTTTCTCTCCCTTTCCTTTCCCCTATCCCTATAAAAATTAAAGAAAAAAGAAACAAACAACTTACTATGAAGTTACAATTATTAGAAACTAGAGGCCTGGTGCACGACATTTGTGCACTGGGGGGTAGGGGGTCCCCTCAGCCCAGCCTGCACCCTTTAGCAGTCTGGGAGCCCTCGGAGGATGTCCGACTGATAGCTTAGGCCCATGTGGTGAGCAGGCCTAAGCTGCAGTCGGACATCTTTAGCACTGCTGTGGAGGACCACTGCTGCGCTCGCCAGCCGTCAGCCGGGCTTGTGGCTGAGTGGTGCTCCCCCTGTGGGAGCGCACTGACTATCAGGGGCAGCTCCTGCATTGAGCATCTGCCCCATGGTGGTCACTGTGCATCATAGCAACCAGCTGTTCTGCCGTTCGGTTGATTTGCATATTACCCTTTTATTATAAAGGATGGTGTAAGCCCTAGCCAGTTTGATTCAGTGGATAGAGCATTGAAGCAGATTAAAGGGTCCTGGGTTCGATTCTGGCCAAGGGCACGTTCCTGGGTTGCGGGCTCAATCCCTAGTCCTGGTTGGGGGCGCATGAAAGTGGCAACCAAACGATGTGTCTCTTCACATCAATGTTTCTCTCTCTCTATGTCTCTCCCCGTCCCTTCTACTCTCTAAAAATCAATGGAAAAAATATCCTGGGTGAGGATTAAACAAACAAAAACTGGTGTAGTACAGGCATAAAGATGAATATATGGACAAATGGAACAGAATAGAGCGCTCAGAAACAAACCATCATATATATAGCAAAATGATTTTAGACAAGGGTGACAAGGCCATTCAATGGTAATGGGTAGTCTTTTCAACAAATGGTGTTGGAAAAACTGGAAATCCACATGCAAGGAATGAAGGTGGACTCTTACTTTACACCATCTATGAAAACTAACTTAAAAAATGGATCTACACTGCCCTGTCTGGGTAGGGCAGTTGGTTAGAGCATCATCCCAATATACCCATGTTGCGAGTTTGATCCCTAGTCAGGGCACATACCAGAAAGCAGTCAATGAATGTATAAATAAGTGGAACAACAAATTGATGTCTCTCTTTCTCTCTCAAAATAAACAAACAAACAAACAAACAAATAAATAAGAATTTCCTTCCTTAAAAAAATAAATATCTACACCTAAACCTAAAACTCTTAGGAAAAATTTCATGATACTGGACTTTCCAATGATTTCTTAGATATAACACCAAAAGCACAGAAAAAAACACACAAAAAAGATATAGACTATATCAAAATTTAAAACTTTTGTCCATTAAAGGACACTATCAACAGTGAAAAGACAACCTACACAGAATAGGAGAAAATACTGTAACTCATATATCTGATGTGGGTTTAACATCCAGAATATATATACAGAACTCCTACAACTCAACAATAAAACAACCAGATTCAAAAATGGGCAAAGGATTTGAATACACATTTCTCCAAAGATATACAAATGGCCAATAAGTACATGAAAAGATACCCAACAACACTAATCATTAGAGAAATGTAAATCAAAATCACAGTAAGATACCACTCCATATCTATTAGAATAGCTAGTATTAAAAAAATAGAAAATAAGTGTCGGTAAGGAGGTAGAGTAATTAGAACCCTTGTGTAATTCTGATAGGAACATAAAATGTACAGTCACTGTGGAAAACAGTATGGTGGTTCCTCAAAAATTTTTAAATAGAATTATCATAAAATATAGCAATTCCACTTCTGAGTATACACCCAAAAGAATTGAAAGCAGACACTAAAGTAAGTATTTGCACACCCAAGTTCATAGTAGCATTATTCATTCACAATAGCCAAAAGGTGGAATCAACCCAAGCATCCACTGAGGAGTGAATGGATAAACAAAATGTGCTATCTACATACAATGGAATATTATCTATAATAATAAAAGCATAATATAATAATTATGTAAATTAGACAAAGCTGGGGCTGGGATGGAAGCCTGGGTCCCAGGTGCCTGCCAGTGGCCAGAGGGAAGCCAGGGTCCCGGGTGCCTGCCAGTGGCCGGAGGGAAGCCCAGGTCCTGGGTGCCTACCAGTGGCCAGAGGGAAGCCGGTGCCAGCAGCCAGGGGAAGGAAGACCTATTCTTGCATGAATTTCGTGCATCAGGCCTCTAGAAGGTCATAAAAAGGAAAGAAATTCTGACACATCCTACTACATAAACTAACCTTGATGATTACGCTAACTGTAATACACCAGTCACAAAAAGATAAATACTGGGTAATTTTATGTATTAAAAATAATTAAAAATTTTATGTTATGTATATTTTACCACAACTAATTTAAAAAGAAATAAAAACAACATAAAATCACGCTGAAATAATGAATGTGATTGTTCGGGAACCGAAGTGTCTCCACTTTGTAACTTTTGGTATCATCATGATAGTAAGTTTTTTTTTTTGTTGTTTTTTTTTTATATTTTATTGATTTTTTACAGAGAGGAAGGGAGAGAGATAGAGAGTTAGAAACATCGATGAAAGAGATACATCGATCAGCTGCCTTCTGCACATCTCCCACTGGGGATATGCCCGCAACCAAGGTACATGCCCTTGACCGGAATCGAACCTGGGACCCTTCAGTCCGCAGGCTGACGCTCTATCCACTGAGCCAAACCGGTTTTGGCGATAGTAAGTTTTTATACTTAACTAGAGGCCCGGTGCACAAAAATTTGTGCACTCGGCGGGGGGGGTCCCTCAGCCTGGCCTATGCCCTCTTGCAGTCTGGGACCCCTTGGAGGATGTCCACCTGCTGGCTTAGGCCCGCTCCCTGGGGGATCGGGCCCAAGCTGGCAGTCAGACATCCCTCTGGCAGCCTGGCAGTCCTCAGGGGATGTCCACTTACCAGTAGGGAGCAGACCTAAGCTGCAGTTGGACATCCTTAGTGCTGCTGAGGAGGCGGGAGAAGCTGTGCTGGCAGCCATCAGCCTGGCTTGTGGCTGAACAGAGCTCCCTCTGTGGGAGCGCACTGACGACGAGGGGACAGCTCCTGCATTAAGCATCTGCCCCCTGGTGGTCAGTGTGTGTCATAGTGACCAGTCATTCCCAGTCGTTCTGCTCTTAGGATCAATTTGCATATTACCCTTTTATTATATAGGATAGAGGCCTGGTGCACGGGTGGGGGCCGGCTGGTTTGCCCTGAAGGGTGTCCCGGATCAGGGTGGGGGTCCCGCTGGGGTGCCTGGCCAGCCTGGGTGAGGGGTTGATGGGTGTTTGCAGGCTGGTCACACCCCCTTCAAGTTGGGGGTCCCCACTGGGGTGCCTGGCCAGCCTGGGTGAGAGGCTGATGGCTGTTTGCAGCTAGTCACACCCCCTTCAGGGTGGGGGTCCCCACTGGGGTGCCTGACCAGCCTGGGTGAGGGGCTAATGGCTGTTTGCAGGCTGGTCAAGCCCCCCCCCCCAGTGGGGACCCTCACCCCATGGAGGTTTGGCCAGCCTGGGTGAGGGGCTGATGGCTGCTTTCAGGCTGGCCACATCCTCTTTAGGGTGGGGGGTCCCCACTGGGGTGCCTGGCCAGTCTGGGTGAGGGGCTGAGGGCCGTTTTCAGGCTGGCCAAGCACCCCCCAGCCACGGAAGCTCCCAGCCTCTCCTTTTTTTCTTTTTCTTTTTTAATTCTGGGATTTATTTACCTTCTATAATTGAAACTTGGTAGCCTTGAGAGGAGCTCAGAGCCAGCCAGGGAAGGCAGGAGGGAAGCTTGGCTTCCTCCATCACTGGAGCAACCAAGTTTCCTGCTCACTCCAGCTCCATGGCCCACTAGCTGAAAGCAAGTATCTGGGGTTTATTTACCTTCTATAATTGAAACTTTGTTGCTTTGTGTGGAGCTCAGAGCCGGCCACGGCAGGTGGGAAGCTTGGCTTCCTCCATCATTGAGGCAACCAAGCCTCCTGCTTGCTCCAGCTCCGTGGATGCCGGCCGCCATCTTGGTTGGGTTAATTTGCATATAGTCGCTCTGACTGGCTGGTGGGCGTGGCTTAAGGCATAGCGAAGGTATGGTCAATTTGCATGTTTGCCTTTTATTATTGTAGATAACCACTTCCAAGTACATGTAATTGAGCCCTTGAAGCATTTTTAATTAGAGTAAGCTCAAGTAAAGAACACCAATTCTCAGGCCATAGTTTATAGGCCTTTCCTGGGAATAGATTCTCTTAACTCACCAATGTCAAGAATTCTATCTCCAGGTCGGTTCCACCTCCAGCCCTCCAGCTGCTGGTGTTCGGTGTATTGTAACCGTCTGTCATGGAACACTACACGGAATATACTCTAAAAGGAAGCAACAAAATCAAATGATAATAGGATTCCTTTAAAATAAATGCTGGCAAACAAAAAATTGCAGGAGTCACCCCCAGTTGGTTTCTAGATACAACCTAAAATTGTTTTTCTTAAGACCTATTTCACTCTAAGACCCACACCATACCAAGCTAATTCAAGGTAAATTTTATAATTGCTCAGATATAATCTTTACAATAACCAGTTCATATTTGCTGAAACATCAGTTCTGATGGTAACTAAGCATAAAGGACTCATATCAGAAGCATTTCTACATGCCCCTACTGCTATCATGTAATATTCAGCTTGGCTCTTCAGATGCATATCAAAAACTCACTAAGGCCCTTGCTTGCTAACCCACCATATAAACTGTAAACACAGAGCAAGTAGCAGCTATTTCCGTCAACTTTACTTTTATTATGCTTACTTTTCGGAGGTGCCTATTAATATCCTTCTTATTACCTTTTACAGCTGCTGCCCAAACTCCTCTGTCCCAATTGTACTGTGAATTCATTACCATCAGTCTAGTCCAGTGGTCGGCAAACTGCAGCTCGCGAGCCACATGCAGCTCTTTGGCCCCTTGAGTGTGGCTCTTCCACAAAATACCACGTGCAGGCGCACACATACAGTGCGATTGAAACTTCGTGGCCCAGGCGCAGAAGTCGGTATTTTGTGTGGTCTAGACCAGTGGTTCTCAACCTTCTGGCCCTTTAAATACAGTTCCTCATGTTGTGACCAACCATAAAATTATTTTCGTTGCTACTTCATAACTGTAATGTTGCTACTGTGATGAATCGTAATGTAAATATCTGATATGCAGGATGGTCTTAGGCGACCCCTGTGAAAGGGTCGTTCGACCGCCAAAGGGGTCGCGACCCACAGGTTGAAAACTGCTGGTCTAGACAAAGAAAACTGCTATTCGTCAACACTAGCTTCTGTTTTCCTTGCAAAAAGACAAAGTATCCAAAGAGACGGGGGAACTTCTCTCAAGATCTCAAGGATGTTACTGTATTCCACCCGAAAAGAATTTCACTGAGCAGCGAAACTCTCCTGCCATGGAGTGGTAAGCCTTCTGTTCCTGCAGCTCCGAAAAATCTATGTGAACAGAGGGGCTCACTCTGACCCCACATTCTGCCAGCAAACTGTAGCAGGTAAGATATCACCAAGGCTTTTATGGAAGCAAAATAATATTACAAAGAGTCACTATAAAGGATGTTCATTCACTTTCTTTTACCTTCACCAACTTGCCATTAATTTCTGGAAGTTCTCCAAGTTTCCTGTTGTCTAGCATTCGGATTTCATAAGACTGTCCTGGAAGAAAAAGTAACTACGTATTATATTCATCATAATTAATGTTCCAAAATTCAGAAAGAAAAAATTCAGTTGAGAGGTTCATTGTGGCAGCAAGAAGTTGAATTTTAGGAGAGCAGTGTTCTCTGAAGAATCTAATGTATGGGGCCACGGCGCTTTTGTTGGATGGGCTGACGGATGTGAGTCCTGGGGATGGGGGAAAGAACTGTCAGACACATCCAGGCGTCCAGACTCAGGCAGGAGGCTCAGGGAAGAAGTGGATGCTCAGTGGACCTGAGGGCACCCAGAGGGAGCTGGTGCCTGTGTACTATAAGAGGAATGAGATGAGAAACCCCTTACTCCCATGACACTATAGGCTGTGGCGGCTCCCCCCCTCCCCCAACAGTTTACCTGCAGGTAAACTGAGGAGTCCAAAGTTGGATCCAAGTATCTAGAATAAGCTCTAGTGTTGGAGTGGCTAGAAAATGGTCCATGCGCGAATGTATACACCACTGCCCTCGCAATACCCTGAGGAGTATTCCTCTCTCAGACAGATCGTGATTTGGAATTACTGACTGATTAAAGATTCCTCTTTCTCCACACTCCTACTTCCAAAAAAAAGGCATTTTAGCAACATTTTTGGAGCTTTGAAAGTAATGTTAGATTCTGTGTGGGATAAAAATATACGTAAGCCCTGGTCCCTTTCCTCAATTTAATGTAGCTGGAAGCCAAGCTATTTCCTGGGTTTAAAACCCGGTTCTTCCATTGTGTGTCCTTTTCAAATTTCTTAATCTTTGCCTCAGTTGCCTCAGCCTCAAAACAGGAATATTTAGTAATTCATCTCACAGGGCTGTTGAGAGGATTAAATGCCTTAATACATAAAAAGCATGTAAAACAAGGCCTGGCACTTAATGAATCTATGAATGTAAGCTGTCATCATCATTGTCGCATCATTGCCAGCATCATCTAGAGGTGACACACTATAGAAAAAGAAGGGTTTCCAATCACTTAAGGACAAAGTAAAACTTAGTAACAACCTGTCTATTTTGAGAGAGTACAGATAGAATTTTTTTTTTTCTTTTTCTTTTTTTTAAGAAAGGAGAGGGATAGGGAATTAGAAACATCAATGAGAAAGAAACATCGATCAGCTGCCTCCTGCACACTCCCTACTGGGGATGTGCCTGCAACCAAGGTACATGCCCTTGACCAGAATCGAACCCGGGACCCTTTAGTCCGCAGGCCAACGCTCTACCCACTGAGCCAAACCGGTCAGACTACAGATAGAGTCTTATGAGAGTTTGTATCCCCCACAGTATCTTGTTTATGGATGTATGGCACGTAGTTGTTAAAAGCAGGAACTTTCATAAATTAGAGGCAAAAAAAAAGGAATAAAATTCAGTTGGTGGAATACACAAAAATATAATATTATAGTATTAGTAAAAACAACTACAATCCTTTACTTTATGCTAGGCACAGTGCTAAATGTTTTCATGCATTGTATCATTTAATTTACACAACTCTCTCTAAGGTATTATCAATCCCATTTTTACAGATAAGTTTATGTTTTAGTTATAAACATATGTTTTAGTAAAACATAGTCATATCAATTGTTTTAGTAAAACATAGTCATATCAATTGATGCAGAAAAAGCATTTGACAAAATCCAACACCCTTTCTTTTTTTCCCTCAGCAAAGTGGGAATAGAGGGATCATACCTCAACATAATAAAAGCCTTATATGTCAAACCTACAGCCAACATCATACTCAATGGGCAAAAACTAAAACCATTTCACCTAAGAACAGGAACAAGACAGGGATGCCCACGCTCACCACTCCTGTTCAACACAGTACTGGAAGTGCTAGCCATAGCAATTAGACAAGAAGAAGAAATAAAAGGCATCCAAATTGGAAAAGAAGAAGTAAAACTGTCATTATTCGCAGATGACATGATATTATACATACAAAACCCCAAAGACTCCATGAAAAAACTATTAGATCTAATAAACGAATCAGCAATGTAGCAGGATACAAAATTTATGCCCGGAAATCTATGGCATTTGTATACACTAATAGTGAACTTACAGAAAGGGAGATTAAAAAAATAATCCCATATACTATTGCACCAAAAAAATTAAGAGACCTAGGAATAAACAAGTAAGGAGGTAAAAGACCTCTACTCAGAAAACTACAGGACATTGAAAAAAGAGATAAAGACATAAACAGATGGAAGAACACACCGTGTTCATGGATTGGTAGAATCAACATCATCAAAATGTCCATACTACCCAGAGCAATCTATAGATTCAACCCATTCCCTATTAAAATACCAATGGCATATGTCATAGACCTAGAACAAACTCTCCAAAAATTCATCTGGAATAAAAAAAAGACCCCGAATAGCTGCAGCAATCCTGAGAAAGAACAAAGTAGGTGGGATCTCAATACCAGATATCAAACTAAATATTACAAAGCCACTGTTCTCAAAACTGCCTGGTACTGGCACAAGAACAGACATATTGACCAATGGAATAGAACAGAGAACCCAGAAATTGACCCAAACCACTATGCTCAATTAATATTTGACAAAGGAGGCAAGAGCATACAATGGAGTCAAGACAGTCTCTTCCACAAATGGTGTTGGGAAAACTGGACAGATATACCCCCCCAAAAATGAAACTAGACCACCAACTTACACCATATTAAAAAATGAACTCAAAATGGATAAAGAACTTAAACGTAAGACGGGAAACCATAAAAATCTAAGAAATCTACGAGGAATCCACAGGCAGCAAAATCTCAGACATATGCTGAAGCAATATTTTCACCGATACAGCTCCTAGGGCAATGGAAACTAAAGAGAAAATAAACAAATGGGACTACATCAAAATAAAAAGCTTCTGTACAGCAAAAGAAACCATCAGCAAAACAAGAAGAAAGCCCACTGCATGTGAGAACATATTTGCCAATGATATCTCTGATAGAGGTTTACTCTCCAACATTTACAGAGAACTCATACAACTTAACAAAAGGAAGATAAACAATTCAATCAAAAAATGGGAAACAGACCTAAATAGGTACTTTTTGAAGAGGACATACAGAAGGCCAAGAGACATATGAAAACATGCTCAAAGATGCAAATCAAAACAACAATGAGGTACCATCTCACACCAGTCAGAATGGCTAACATCAACAAATCAACAAATGACAAGTGCTGGCGAGGATGTGGAGAAAAAGGAACCCTCGTGCGCTGCTGGTGGGAATGCAGACTGGTGCAGCCACTGTGGAAGACAGTATGGAGTTTCCCTAAAAAACTAAAAATGGAACTCCCATTTGACCCAGTGATCCCACTTCTAGGAATATATCCCAAGAAACGAGAAACACCAATCAGAAATGATATATGCACCCCTATGTTCATAGCAGCACAATTTACCATAGCTAAGATTTGGAAACAGCCTAAGTGCCCATCAGCAGATGAGTGGATTAGAAAACTGTGGTACATCTACACAATGGAATACTATGCTGCTATAAAAAGGAAGGAACTCCTACCATTTGCAACAGCATGGATGGACCTGGAGAGCATTATGCTAAGCAAAATAAGTCAGTTGGAGAAAGATAAATATCACATGATCTCACTCATTTGTGGAATATAATGAACAACATAAACTGATGAACAAAAACAGATCCAGAGACAGAGAAGCATCCATCAGACCGCCAAACCTCAGAGGAAAGGCAGGGGAGGGTGGGGGAAGGAGGAGAGATCAACTAAAGGATCTGTATGCATGCATATAAGCATCACCAATGGACACAGACACTAGGGGGGTGAGGGCACGAGCGGGGTTGGGGTGGGAGGCAATGGGGGAAGATAAGGACACATATGTAATACTTTAATCAATAAAGAAAAAAAAAGAGTTTATGCACCTTGTCCAAGGCCATACAACTGATAAACAATAATGCTGAGTGGGGTAATTCTTCTCAAATAGTAATCAGTGAGGATGTTCAGGGAACATGGACTAGAAAAAAGAGGGAGATGGAAACTAAAAATGGGCACACAGACAGAAGAAGCTATTAATATATATCACACAAGACATTAAAACTCAAATATCTGAAGCCTTGGATTTTGACAGTCTACCCTAGAAAGATGCACTTTAAAAAAATGTTTATATGGATTTCAGAGAGATGAAGGGAGAGGAAGAGAGAATCACTGATCGGCCTCCCCCTCTCAACCCCCCACTTGGCATTGAGCCGGAAACTCCAGGCATGTAGCCTGACCAGGAACCGAACCTCAACCGCCTGGTTCATGGGTCGACGCTCAACCACTGAGCACACTGGCTGGGCCAAAAGGTGCACTGTTTACATAAAGTGTACCTAATTAAATGTCATGAATTCAGCAGGTCTGCAGTAATACTAACGAACAAGGACGCATCTAACCTTGATTGAGATATGTCAGGGTTTCGTCGTGGAGTTTCACTGCTGGAGAGGTGGCAGCACAAAGCACATACTGAAAAGGTAGGATTTTATTCTCATTATCAGGAGGCAGACTTGACTCTTCTTGCTTAAAAATGGGCAAGGCAAGGACATCACTGAAATAAAGCACATAAATGACTTTTGTTAACATCTGACAAAGGTGCAAGAGCAGATTTATTGTGGAAGCAATTTAACTGCAAGTTGCTTTGGCAAACCGTAAATATTACTCACTTCTTTGGAGTTTCTTCCCAACTATTCAATTCAGATTACCAGCTGTGATATCCCCCTGACCACAACAATATGAGTAATGACAGATATTCACTGTTAAAACCACCTAAATGCCCAGACTGTGTTTCTAGGGAACACAGACAGGTGTTTCTAAAAGGGCTCTGAAAATCGTATGTAGAGTTCCAAAATCACAATTTAGGACACTCAGTAATATATCTGTTCTCTGAAATGCACCAACTGCAGTATCTTTATTGAGCAGTCCTCCTTTATCCACAGTTTCAGTCACATGCAGCCTGAAAACATTAAATGGAAATTTTCAGAAATAACCAATTCCTAAATTTCAAGTTGCAAACCATTCTGAGTAGTGTGATGAAATCTCACGCTGTCCTGCTCTGTCCCACCCAGGACATGAATCATCCCTTTGTCCAGCATATACTTGGTATATGCCACCCACCAGTTGGCCACTTAGTAAGTAGCACTCTCAGTTATTAGATATTTACAGAAAGAGAGAGCATGAGAGAGAGAGAGAGAGAGAGAGAGGACACACACATATTCCTTTTATTACAGAGCAATAAAAGATGTTAGTCTTTGGGAGACATTATTTTTTTCTAAATTTTTAAAAAAATTATTGATTTGAGAGAGGTGGAGGAGGGGGAGAGTGGCTGATTCTTGCATGTGCCCTTACCGGGGATCAAACTCACAACCTTGGTGTATCAGGACAATGCTCTAACCAACTGAACTACTGGGCCAGGGTGCTATAGATCCTTAAGTACATCACATTTGATGATTCCGTGAAGGGAAGGGCTAGTGAAGATTACCAGGAATCAAGGAAAATAAGATTTTGCAACATAGCAACAGCTCAGCCTTTAGGAATGTAGAGTGTTTTTCTTCCTTCTCAAATGTCAGTGCCTAGCAAGGTTAACATATAGCAACAGTTCCTAGACTTCTCAATATAATGTGGCATTACACCTAATCCCTCATGACTAAGCAAAGGACTATCATTTGAAGCTGGAATTCTAAAATTGATTCTAAAGTTACCCCTAAAATTAACTCAAAATAGTACAGCTAAACTCAATACATAAAACTATATTTTCTCATCAGAGGATTTAGGATCTAAAAACCTCAAGTATATCTGAATTACTCATGTTCTTGGTACACTGAATTTCTTTTACTCTGCTGTGGGGACAAGAGTATCATTCAATTCCACATTCCTATAGGTGGAGGCTAAAGGTCACCAGTAACTTCAGTTCCAGGCCCCTGCTTATACCACAACAATAACAAATTCAACGAGAAACAATTTTGGAAATACAGAGAAGTCTCCTCCTTCTCAGAGGTAAGTTGAGTACAGATTAGGAAATCCCACTCTGGTAGACTCTAACAATGTATAATAGTTGCTAACAATGCATAATTTGGATTTTATTATATTCTCTGATTCCTTCATGTATTTAATTCATTCAGTGAAACATATGCAATTTGAAGGAATAACTTTTTTATGTGCTTATTAGTAAACTAGAGGCCTGGTGCACAAAATTTATGCATGTGTAGAGTCCCTAGGTCTGGCCGGTGATCAAGGCTGATCGGGGCCTTCCAGCTGCCGGCCAGGGCCTTCCTTCGTTCCGTGCCACCCCCTGGTGGTCAGCGCATGTCATAGCAAGTGAGCGATTGAACTCCCAGGCTCCTGGTCAAACTCCCAAGGGGACACTTTGTATATTAGCCTTTTAGATAGATAGATAGATAGATAGATAGATAGATAGATAGATAGATAGATAGATAGATAGATAGATGATAGATAGATAGATATTTGTTGGTATGATTTATATTTTTGCTTATTTGCATTGTCCCAAATACTCAGCCCTAATACACTGTAATCATTTTGGAATTCTTAACATCTCATAGTACCTCTAATCGAGGATAAGGATACAGAAATCTTACTGTTAAAAAGATAAATTGAATATATATATATATTTAAATTTTTTAAAATTAATTTTTAGAGAGAGGAAGGGAGAGGGGGTGGGAGGGAGGGAGATAAACAGTGAGAGAGAAATATCGATGTGAGAGAGAAACATTGATCAGTTGCCTCCTGCATGCATTCTGACAGGGGATTGAACCCACAACCTGGGTATGTACCCTGACCAGGAGTCAAACGAACTCCCCATCTTTTGGTGTATAGGACAACACTCCTACCAACTGAGCCACACCAGCAAGGGCTAAGTACTGTATATTTTTAAAATACGCATCGCTAAGTGGAAATCCATACCTGGGAGTAGAGGCATAGCAGAAATCATTATTAACAGTGATCTTCCCTGTAAGTAACTGGGATTCCCTGAAGAGCTGCTTCTGATATAAATTACCCTTCTCTGAAGAGTCTCTACTAATTCACAACTATGGTTTAATTTTCTCCCTCAGGCCTACCAGCTGTGGAATGCCCTCTTCTAAAAGATCCTATAGCATAGAAAGGGAGAGGTTGGATGAGCTCTATCTTGAGTAAGAGAGGCAAGCAGACAGATGTTCATAGCATCTAAGGAAATTAGAAACTAACTGGGGACAGTAAGATGTCATGAGCTCCTAACTTCTCTATTTTATAACCTTCATTTCACCATGATGAAAATATTTGAAAACATGCCAATCCTATATAAAAGGCTAATATGCAAATAGACCAAACTGCAGAACAACCAAACAACCGGTCGCTATGATGTACGCTGACCACCAGGGGGTATGCGTGGAACATGGCAGGCATCAGCTGTGGCCAGATGGTGGAGCAGGTGAGTGGGGGCGCCAGATCAAGGCAGGGCAACAGTCGCTGTCATTGGGGCGAGCCTCTGGTGGTTACTGAAAATTCTTTGCTCCCACGCGCCATGGTCCTGCCCAGTGCTCACACCTGCTGTTGGCGCTGGCCCCACTCACACCTGCTGCTGGTGCTGGAGCCACCACTCACACCCACTGCTAGCACCAGCCCTGCTTGCACCCGAAGCCACGGCTCGCATTCACTGCTGGTTGCCCAGCGCCGGTCCCATTCGCTCTGTGCCATCAGTGGGTGTGAGTCGCGGCTGCCAGACCTAATTGCCCCTGAGGGCTTCTCCACTTCCCCCTGCTCCTGAGGGGTGATCGGAGCAGCAGCCACCGCTCACACCCACTGAGGGCACGGCACCGGCCCCACTCGTTCAGTGCCATCAGCAGGGCCAGCACCATCAGTGCATGGGAGCGGCAGCAGTTGGGAGCGGGGCTGCAGGCAGACAGGGGACCTGGGGCTGCGGTGGGAGGGGCCTGGCGGGGGCACAGAGGATGGGCCGAGACCCATCCCTGTGTCTACCACAGCCTCGCGGCCCACAGTTCCTTTCAAGGTGCACAAGTTCGTGCACTGGGTCCTTAGTATCACTATATCAGTTATAGTGTGAAAGGACAAGAATTGAAGATACTACATTCTATTCTGAGGTCAGCTTCAAAAGAAAAAAAAATCCAGTAAATAACTGGTCATAAAGGCCCTGGCTAGGGAGCTGAGCTGGTTAGAGCATTGTCTGGATATGCCAAGATTGTTAGGTTGATCCCTGATCAGGGCACATACAAGAATCAACCAATGAATCCATAAATACTTGGGATAACAAATCAATATTTTTTTCTCTCTCAAAAATTAATAAAAAAATATTTTTAAAAAGAACACCAACAAATGCTGGATAAGACATTTTTAAAAAATAACTGGTCATAACATCTTTACAGAGGAGAGAAAATAACTGATTTCTTTGGAGTTGTGGGAAAGAGAGATGCCCTGCAAGTTTTAATATGAAGCCAGTGTGATGTCCTGACTACTGAGTAATGGTGAAATTATCTTACTTTCTTGGTTAAGAGTCTGCTGTCACAAAGTGATAAAAGATTTCTGCTAGCTGAACATCTAGTGAAAAACCTCATTAAACTAAAAAGCAGCACATATAATTTTAAAAATTGCCTTGCTAATTATTCTACCACCCAGAAGACATAAGAAATAAGTAGAATTATGCTCTGAACCTAATTTGACCAAGAAGAAACTGATCAGAAAAGAGGACGTGGTGGAGCCTCAAAAGAAAGCAACCCAGCCAAGTAGACAGGAAGAACAGACAGACAGGAAGAACAAACAGACAGGAAGAACAAATAGACAGGAAGAACAAGGAACACAGCAGATGTGATTCCTAGCTTTTTAAGGAATAGGCTTCAAAGGTGAAGACAGGACCCAAGCCCATGGATGTGAGGTACTAAAAGGGAACACAAGATTGAGGTTCTCAAAAATGAAGTTCTGCCAATTTCACATTATCTGAGATGGCGCGGGGAGAGGATTGGAGGTGTCTACAAAGACTAGACAAAAAGCTCACCAATCAACTCAGAATTAGAAGGGGGTGCACAGTAAAAATACATACAAAAGGAAAAGAACTATTTTTTAAGTGGTACTGACATAAATAAGAAGCAAGCTTGAGCTGAAACCCACAATGCGCTGAGACTTGCAAAAAAGGTAAGAGAAGCACAGGTCCGCTCTTTGATGTAAATGGCATATGACTAGTTAATATGAAGCAGAGACAAAGAACATCTCAATTCCTGTTTTTCTCCTATCTTTCCTATAGTAGTAGTAATTTTTAAAATGAGGCAAGTATAGTCTCCCTACCTTAACCAGAGTGATCTGACATGAAATCTGGGCAAGACTAAGAGGTTATTAAAAGAATAGTTTGAGTATTTAGGCAGGGCATCGGGGAATCACTAGGAGCCATAAGCAAACAAACTCATATTCCCTTTTTATATGATTTGACCGGGGATTGCTGGAAACATAATAAATATTTCTGGATTTTAGCAATGTATAAAATAAAGTCTCTCTTGATATCTCTGTTCAAGGTGAAAAATATGAATTTTGCTACAGTTAAATGGCTTT